TATTATTCGTAGTTTCTATAAATCGATAAAGGTATTAAAATGGAAAATATTTTTCAAGCAAAACAGATATTACAGCTGTTCAAAGAATGAGATTATATCGCCAGCAAAAAAATACAAGCAGTCAATGTCAATGTATGTTAATTTTAATTACATGAAGTTCTTCAAACACAGTTATTACATGATGGGTGAAGTTGCGAAAACAATATTTGTTTAGGCGTTGTTCAACGAATATTATAGAATTTATTAATCAGCAATTACTTCATTTCTCATATAAAGGTCCAAGTTCTAAATGCTAATTACAATGACAAACCGATCATTTCATATTTCAAGTATGACTTTAAATACATTATTGTTTTTAAATATTATGCACATTTTTAATGCTATTATAAATATATAGTTTATAATTTATCATTATATAAATGTGTATAATATTTGACACTAATATAATGTATTCATTTTTAACTTAAATGCCATCTCGAACAATAGCAAAAAAGTTTTACTTCAATCGCGTGTGAACTTTACGCGCACCTTTTTTTAAATATTTGTAAAACTTAAATATGGCCAAATGGCATTTTTTTTTAAATTTTTATTTGAATCTCCGAAATCACTGGAGACCTGTCTTTGCAAAAACTTGAAAAAATCTTCATTACGACAATACAAGCAGAATGTTTGTTGAATCATTCAACAAATCGGATGCTCCGTTCTCTTACAAACTTAATTGCAATTTTCTGCACTTTTTGTTCTTTATCTCCGAAACGGTTGGTCCAACCTTTACCAAAAACTAATCAGCACGTCTCCTTAACAAAAGGAATCGTGAATGATTCAAATCAGATGATTCGTGTGTCCAAAAAGTGGATAAAAATTGTATCCGCATACATAGATACACACATACATCCATTTTCTCTAAGGAGGCTTCCATTAATCACGTGGGGTTTTTAGGGGGTGGCATGGGGATTTTACAAAAAATCACGAAATATTACGTGTATTTATTTTTTAGCTGATTTTTATTTTTAAATCCAGATATTTTCGACAAACATAAAAATATTTTTAAAAAATTTTTCGTAACTAGAATATACGTAATGTTTGGCGGAGGAGAGGAGGTAATTTTGAATATCACCACGTATCATCAAGGGGGAGGAGGGAGGTCCAAAAATCCTTGAAAAATCGATTACCTGATTAATAGACGTCCCTCAAGGTAAGCCAACATTTTCAGAAATCTCTGAAACGTAAAGATATATAAAAATTTCATTTTAAATTTTTTTAACTACATCGATATTTGTGTATCTCTCTTGATTCTATCCTCTCACCACCAGTCGATAAAAACGCAAAATGCGAACAAGTGCAAAAGAGACATCGCATACGAGAATCGTACGCGTAGGAACGAGAGAGGATGATCAGAAGAATAGTGAACAAGATGACACGTCTAATGACGGACGAGAGAGAAATACAGAGATCACACGGTGGAGAGTACGTGAAGTCCGAACTAACTCTCTCTCAACGCGGGGACTGAATCAGGGGTACAAAACTTATGGAATGGATAGAAGAAATATGTATTATACGTTGATAAATAGTACTAACTTGTTAACTTCACTTTGCACCTCGGCCATCAATTTTACCTGAAAATACTCTACGTTAATAATAATAAGACAAATTCTGATTGATACAATTAAATAATCTTGGCCTATGGACTTGCCTCAGCCTTGACTAGATAATCATTCATCTCCTAAGTATATTTTTTAAATATTTTTCGGTTTTCAACCCCTGCACCGTGACGCATCTCTAACTCCTCATTGTGCTCAAATCACTGGTGGCACTTGGAGCGTGTGCGTTCGAAAGGGACGCTGCTATACGGTCGTACGAACGATGAAAAGAGACGGAGCGATAGCATCGTGTGTAGGTGCGACACGGGTGATACGCATATCACGTAGCGTGTTGCCGCCACCATATGCACGACTCGCGCTGTGTTGGTGGTATAAGGCTTGGGTCGCATTGGGTAAATGAAATATTGAGTCGGGAGAATAGTAAATCCTAGAATTTTTGGCTAAGGGATCGTTCAAGTATAACGTAAGCAGATTTATTACAATTATTTACGCCCCCCCCTTGTCAGCAAAATTAAGCAAATTTCTTACCCAAAATTAGCAAATCAATAACCCCCCGCCCCCTATAGTGCTTACGTAATACTTGAACGGCTCCTAAAACGTGAACTGATTTTTGTATACTTTTTTGATATTTTCAAAAAACGGCTTGATCAATTTTCGTACAGAAATATTCAACACGAGTTCATATCAAGTTACATCGAATGGCTCTTAAATTTTTGAAACTGGTGAAAAACATCAATGGGAGATCAAAAAACGGCTCACATACTTTTTCCAAATTTGGCCTAGTTCGATTCAGAATGACTTGAAACGCCGAAGAAACATAAAATTAGTCAATCGGATTTTTTGGCGAAAAATAAACTTCTTCGGAAAGTTGCTGATTATTTTTTGGCCCAAGCAGGAAGAAGGTACAGGACAAAATATGCAAAAAATGGCAAATCACTTTTTGAGAGAACGGAGCATCATATTTGAATGATTCAAAAAACATTTTAGTGGGCGTCCGTTAATCACATGAGTAAAGAAGGGATCTAGTAAAATATCATGTGTATTTATTTTTTACCTGAAATTAAAAAACAAATCTAAAATTTTCCAAAATTCTCAAAAAAATGTACGTTTTTTTAAGTACTAAAAAAACACGTGATGTTTGGTGGGGGACTTGGCGGATAATTTTAAATATCACCAAGTATTACAAAGGAGGAGGGATTGGTCCAAAAATTCTTAAAAGGCGATCACGTGATTCATTAATGCTCCCTTATTTGTATTGGCGAAATGAAAAACTTATTAAATTTTTGGAATATTATTATTGTTATAATATTGGGTGCTTCGATATTTCGTCTTCCTTTTGAAAAAAACGTACAAGATTTTCAAACAATTCAAGATATAAAAAAATTTAAGTGTTTCAAAGTCATTTTTTTTCAAATATTTCGATATTCATTATTAATTATATCATTATCAATTTTTTTTGGCTTAAATACATACATTGATTTTTACATAAAGTTTCAAATTGCACACCTATTCTAGAAAAATCATTATACTATCATGACATTATATTGTTTACAAATATATATTTGTTTTTAATTAATTACTATCATAATTAAGTATGAAAAGAGCTATTTAAAACATACTGCCATCTTGTTTAAATTTAAAAAATACGGAGGTAGTACAAAGAAAAAAGCGCAAATAAAAATGCTACGAAAAACATTTCACTGGTATTGATTGAGTGAACAATTGATTGCATTTTTGCAAGGGCAAGTCCAGCGGTTTGTAGATACGGAACAATAAATAGCATTTTCTGAGAGAACGGCGCATCCGATTAGAGTGATTCAACGATATTGCTTGTATCGACGTTTGTATATTAGGTTTTCGTTGTTACAGATAAACATAGAAGTCGTCGATGAAATTTACAATATCTATAATAATTACCCTAAAATATTTAAAAACAATTATTACTCATTGATAAATTTTTATTGATGATTGATTATTTTTGACAGAAAGTTCCAGCAATTTACTTTAAGGCACAATGTAATACACCAATAAATTTCTGTCCCTATTTATTTATTAATTTTACAAGCCGTTAGTATAATGATATTATAATAAGGCTCGTGTCAATATTTTATAAATTTAATAATTAACCATTTTATCACTTATTTATTTATTATTTAATTTATTTGCTATAAACTTATTTATATTTAGTTATTTTTAATTATTTTTAAATATATATAGTTTGTTTTATGAAGATTCGTGTTCATATATTGCAAGTATTTTTAAAACAATTTAATGGAGCGTCGATTAATCACGTGAGGCTTTTAGGAAGAGTGAAAGGGTTTAACAAAAAATCACAAAAAGTCACGTTGGGGGAGAGAAAGATCTTGTAAGATATCACGTGTATTTATTTTTTTACATAAAATTTCAAAAAAAGGGGCCGTTCAAGTATTACGTAAGCACTATAGGGGGGCGGGGGGTTATTAATTTGGTTATTTTGAGTGACATTTTGGTGACAGCTTTGCTTACTTTTGCTGACAACGGGGATAGGGGGTGGGGGTAAATAATTGTACTAAATCTGCTTTACGTAATACTTGAGCGATCCCAAAAGATAAATTTCACGAAAAATTTGTTGATTAAATATAACGACGTATCACCAAAGAGAAGGGATCCAAAAAAACACTAAAAAATCGATCACATGATTAATGCACGTGTCCTAATAAGTATTTTAATAAACTTTACAATACTTTTACAATATAATTATTTTGTGTAACAAATTTTAGGTTATTTTATGATATGATTATTTAGTTAAACAAATTTATAAGTGTATTATATTATATATTTTATTTATTTATAAGTGTCTTACATTCCTCCAATGTGTCCCAACCCTAACAGTGGTTATAGTATCGCCCGAACAATCGTGACTGATCGTCGTGTCGGTGCGACAGAGACTACGGCGGAGTGGCAGCAGGCAGAGGCGGAGGCTGGTGTGATGGTGTGATGGTGTGATGGTGCGCTGGCCGCACACAGCAAGGACGCCGCCGAACCGCCACGCATTAGTCGTGCGTCGACACTCGAGGAGAAAAGACGGATCGTCGATAGAGGAGAATTTTAATTTGCGATCGTAAATGTGCGAGTTGAGAAATCATTAGAGGATTGTAATTGTTGGTGCAAAAATATATATTAATAAATTGGTTGTATTTGGTTGTACAAATATTTGGTTTACTTTTGAATTTCGTTGGAGGTGCAAAAAGTGTATTAGTTACAAACAAACACGATAAATTCTGTGGAGTGTAATTTTTACCACATGTGTGTTTGTGTATAAATCCTTTGTGCATTCACTCTACATTTATGTCTACCCATACATCCCTCGTTTCTGAGGTCGTCGCAAAAACGCGCGGCCGAACATGACAGCTAAAACCGAAAAATCCAAGGCATCTAACACCATCAGCTTGACCCAAACCGATGTCAAAACAGAATCCGTGTTAGAAATCGAAGACATCAAACTACCTTCAAAACTCAAAAAAACCTTCAAAAAATCCACCAAAGACGACACAAAAAAGTCTAAGTCCAAATCAGAAAAACGTCAATCTATTACTATTACCGACGACCTATTCGCCAACACAACGTCTTATTCAAGCAACGACAGCACCACCGTGATTGGTGTCAAAGAGGAGCCCGTGATCAAACGAGCCAATAAACCGCTCATGGAGAAACGCAGACGTGCCAGGATTAATCAGAGCCTCGCAGTTCTGAAGGCTCTGATCTTGGAGGCTGCCAATCAGAGGAGCGGCTCGGCCGTAGGCGCCAACGGAACGGCCGGCGCCAAACATGCCAAACTGGAGAAGGCGGATATTTTGGAATTGACGGTCAGACACTTTCAGAGGCACAGGAATTTAGACAATCCCGGTTAGTAGAATTGTGATTGATGGATGATTTGTTTTATGTAGACGCAAATATTATTAGTGATTGGCCATTTGCTTCTACGAAATGTGAAAAATAATTCCAAAATTTTATGATGACTAAAAATTTAAAAAACCTAGATACATTATTATTATCATCAATCAAATAGAATCATCTATAATTAAAATATAAACAATAAATAGTGGAAGAATTTAAAATAAATCAAAATATTTGTATAAAAAATATATGTAACTTACATTTATTAACTGATTTTTTGAGGTTTAAAATCACGGTTTATAATATTTATTTAACTGATTTATACAAATAACTAAAAACCACAAGAGAATTCATTCGTGGCGTAAAACACTACGAGGCGTCTCCACCGTAAGATTTTTTTAAATCAACATACATCTATTATGTATATCTCTATTATTGGTATGCGGGTTGTATATATTTATTTATATTTCAATATCTCGAAAATGTTAAGTATTCCTAAATTTATTCTGGAACTTGATATGAAAATGGACATTGAACAATTCTTAAGTCTAAATTAAAATATGGTTTAAAAAATAATTAAATTTTAAATTTAACAAATCGCGCCCCAAAAATGTAAAATTTTAAAATTAAATGTAGATTACTGTCTTAAATCAAAACTAATTATTGGAAAACAAGTCAAAGTTTTTTTGCTTCGTCTGTTAGATTCAAATTTGCAATTTTATATTTTATATCATAAAACCCCAAAAACTTTAAAACAATTTTTATTTTATTTTATTTTGTTACAAAAGTTTATCTTACGACAATTGCAGGATTTAATGTTCAGTTAAAATTAAATGTAAATTGCTATTTTAAATCCATACTAATTATTTGAATTCAAGCCAAAGGTTTTTGGTATCGTCTTTTGAATTCAAACTGCAATTTTATATTTTATAGCATATGATCCCAAACATTTTAAAACCCTAAAATTTCTTATTTTATTTTATTTTGTTACAAAAGTTTATCTTAAGACAATTGCAGAATTTATTGTTCAGTTAAAATTAAATGTGGATTGCGATTTTAAATCCATACTAATTACTTGAACACAAGCCAAAGGTTTTTGGTATCGTCTTTTAGAATTTCAAACTGCAATTTTATATTGTTTTATAGCATAAAACCCCAAAAATTTAAAAACCCTAAAATTTCTTATTTTATTTTATTTTTTGTTACAAAAGTTTATCTTACGACAATTGCAGGATTTATTGTTCAGTTAAAATTAAATGTAGATTGCTATTTTAAATCAAAACTAAGTATTTGAACACAAGCCAAAGGTTTTTTGGTATCGTCTTTTAAATTCAAAACTTCAATTTTACATTTTATAGCATAAAACCCCAAAAAATTAAAAACCCTGAGATTTCTTATTTTATTTTATGTTGTTACAAAAGTTCTAACTGAAATATAATGCGTACAAACTTTTTTTCGTTTTTCGAAGAACTTTTATTATTTAACTGTATATATGCCAAAGTAAAAAATTTTAGAAATGTTTAAAAATTAATTGTTTAAACAATATCTCAAAAACTTCGAGTCGAGGCATATAATGTTGATCTTTAAAATATGCGAAGAATTGTTGCTATTATTTAACTGTATATTTGCCAAAGTAGAAAATTTAAAAAATGTTTAAGAAATAATTGGAGCAAAATGCTTACAAAAAACAATATCGCAAAAGCTTCGAGTTGAAACATATAATGTTGATCTTTAAAACATGCGAAGAATTGTTGTTGTTATTTAATTGTATATCTACTCTTTATAAAGCAGAAAAATATTTTACAATTTCGCCAGGAAATCGCGTTTGCAAATTTTAAACATTATTTATTCTGATTCAGGAGAAACTGAATAATTCAGCATAAACTTGTCTCAAAAACTATATAACTTATCAAAAGTATGAGGAAAAAAATAAATTTTGGTTTTTGTCCACATGGTCTCCGGAACGATGCAACCTACATATAAAATTCAACAGTCCTTTGATAAAACTCAATAACGGAGCTTAGAAACATCTGATTTACATTTTATTTTATAATTATTTGTAATCTAAAACCAATGTAATTTATTGTATTATAAAATATGGTTTGAAATTGAGTCGTTGACAGACATTGTTATAAAAAATGGATGAAATTAGAATAAATGTTACGTTTGTTGTAATGATGTGCATCGCCTTGATTACTATACGGTCTTTGCGAAGGTCGTCTGGCGTCGCATTCAGAGAAATATATTATACACATATATATTATATACATGTACCTATGTATATATATTATATATTTACCTATGTGCATATACATTTATACGTATCATAATGATATGCTTGTTGTGTCGTCTCGGGAACTAACAATGTGTAAAAAAAAGTGTGCAAAAGTACATACATTCAAAAAAAACTATTTTGAAACTATTTTTTTTAATTTTCATGTAATTGAAATTTATAGATAGCAATATGTTTTCAAGTGAAAATAGTCCTTAATCCGGCATCTGCAATATCCCAATTAGAACGACGACCAGGGTGTTGTTTTCTAATAGCGTTCAGTATAAAAAATTAAACTATATCTCAGATAGAGTAAGGACAATTAATTAAAAAATTATTCAAACATTAAAAAAATCAGACTTACATACATTAATTAAATTTTGATAGCTGTCAAAAAGCAAAGAAGAAGAACTTCTCTTATTAACACATTGAGAATTAAAAAAAATGAAAACAGATTCAGCAAACCTTCTTAGGTCAACATTTTGTTCAATATATAAAATAACGGGATTGTTTAAATCAGAGGTGTGTTTAAAATTTTGCATATGGTCTGAAAGCATTGTTTTGTATTGATTTTTATTTTTTGAATTATATTTATGTTGAAGCATTCTCTTAGATATATATTGTGAGCTCTTCCCAATATAGAATTTTTCACAATCATTACAATTCACCTTGTAAATATGTTTCAAAGTCGAAATAAACAAATAATATAAATATATAATATTTCAATAGTTCAACAAGTCTATTTTTTCCGGTTGTTCTCTATTGTCATCGTGCATTTATATTTACGCACTCGGCTAAACGGTGTGGGCAATTACGGAGCCCCACAGCACTCCCCCCCATACGGTGTATGTGGGTAGTGTCGCGCCGGTTTGGATACATACATTATTATGTTGTATCGAATAGAGTAAGATGGGCAAAAATTGAGATATTTGAAAATTGAGATGAAACAAGAAATTGGTAAATAGGCAAATGAAAAATAGGCTCTGACCATCTGTTCTAAAAATTATCAAACATTGCCTACGAGGAAGTTATTGTACCTTACGTCTTAAGATCAGAGATATATTCCTGATACATTTAGATCAGGTTGTCTACTTCATAAGTGAGTCTAGTCTACTTTCGGTTACACATCTTAGGGTCATAGTTATTTCTTTCAAAATCTTACTGAAAGTGTGAAAACTTTTTTCTGACCCCAGATACTCCATTTATATTAAGTTAAGAGAGCAATCTTCACGATCGAATTCTAAATCTATTATTTTATTTGTTTTATTCAACCTGTGTCACTTTTGTCCGCGACTTCGAAGGTCGCGCCGGACAATAAAACAAATCAATTCGACGCCAAACACCGGAGGAAGAAAAAAAATTAAAAAAAAAAAAACAGACACCGGACACAAGATCACGATGTGATAAATAGATGTATAAATGAGAGACAGGCGGGCGTAACTTCGAATAAAACATCTGAATAAAACGAGAAAAAAATTATATGTTTATCCATAAGATCTGATATATTCAGGGTAAAAGATTTTTTTCATGTTTTTAAAAATTAAGATCTTAAAATATTATAATGATAAAAACCTAAATATAATAAGGTTTTTGTTAACGCATTTCACTCATGGTCAGTTTAAATGTTTCTGTATCGCTCATTGAGCAACTTGTGCGAATAATAAAAATTTTGGTCTCAAATGATTTGGAATGACTTGAAACATCTAGAAAATATAAAATTAGAAGTAAAATTTTCTGGCGAATACAAACTTCTCTTTTAGAAAATGATTAATCAAAATAATTAAAAAAAATAGAACGCTTAATAATAATAATAATAATAATAGACAAATCACAAATAAAGTAAAAAAAAAGCTAATAGTCCAGAAATATTAGTTTTATATGGACTTCGTTATTATAGTGTGAATATGTATATACCAATGAATTAATTAATTTTTTGTGGATTTTATGACAATTTCTTTCTAAACTAGTGATGTATGGCATCGGGCCTTAAAGCAAATTGCTGGAACTTCCCGTACCTAAATATTTGAGGAATATTTCCTTAATTTTATTTAATAAAAAGTAAATAAACAAAACTTCAGATCAGATCTAAAATATAAATATAATATAAATATAAAAACAATCAGATATAAAATGAAGAAGATTGTCTAATATTTCTAAGTATTATATAAACTGAATAGCAAATTAAAATTATCTATTTAAAGTATATCAGTGATGCTTAGAACTTTAGCTAGAATCAGAATTGGCACTTTTGCCTCGTATCTTCGGAATGGCTGGGTCTGTCTTTACTAAAAACTAATCATCACATCTCCCTATAAATAGGAATCGACTGGTTTTTGAATTTTTCAAATCGGTTCATCCATACGCCTGAAATCGTCGACGAAAAATTGTCTTCACACACACACATCCATTTTTTCCTGAGGTATGCCAAAATGTTCAGAAACCTCTGAAACGTGAAATTATGCAAAAATTTTCATTTTCAATTTTTGGCTCATTACTATAACTTACCCTACGGGAAGCTAATAAAAAAAGATAAAAATATAGTATTATCATTGCAACTACTATATCGTTAATATTAAGATTTCTATTTATACATATTTTTTTCTCGATTAATGATCGAAAAATTCAATGTTATATTATTAATATATTTACAGTTTTGTGTTCTGTTTTAATTCATTTTTAATTGTAATTTTTGATTTTTGAATCATATTTACACTACCCTGCAAAAGTTTGGACTCATTTAGGAAAATCGTTGTCTTTTTTTTCGTCACTTTATTTATAGTTCTCCTGTACGTATTGATATAGAAAAACATTTAAAAATGATTTTTGAGCGTTTCCTTTAAATCCTTTATTTATTGTACAGAATAATTAATTTTCGAAATATTGTAAAATGCACAATGTTACAATTTATCACTTTGAATTACATTAACTATAGTTTTGAACTAAAATTAACTTTTACTCGTTGCATCATCATTTAAAAATGTGCGCCAATGACTTCAAACCGAAAGGCCAAAAAATTGATGGAAAACGGCTGGATTGATTTTTTTCGTTTTGTAACTCGTAAATTGAATGTAATTCTCAACGAATCTGTTACATTAAACGATTTTCCTAAGCGAGTCCAAACTTTTGAAGAGTAGTGTTATGATGTATCATTAATTTATTTCTTTATATTGTATTACTAATATTACTAGATGGACGAAAATTGTTAGACATATTGTTACACAAAGATTTGAATTTTCCACCAATTTTAAATTTGATTCAATTTGAACCGCAACCATTACAAAAATCTAACTCCATTTCTTTTTCCCCCAGATATCGATAAATACAGAGCCGGCTACAGCGACTGTGCCCGCGAAGTGGCGCGCTATCTATCAACCCCCGAGCCTCCGCCCCTGCCGACGTCGCCCTGTCTCTCGGACGCCGCCAGCAAAGCACGCCTGCTCCGACATCTAGACAACTGCGTCGCCGAAATCGACCGGGACATCTGCCCATCGTCGACAGATCTACACCCCGCCAACCAGCCCAAAATCCAACCAGTAACGCCCGCCAAAAGGGAACCGCCTCAACCAGACAGCAGCACGTCCGCCAGCAACGTGGTCAGCCCTGCTTCCAACCAGGACGAAAACAATAACGGCAATAATAGATTGAGGAACCCCACCCCGAATGTAGAGGATTTAATTGAACCCAATGAGATACTAAAGCATGCCTGGGGTGGCCCACAGTTGAGACTACCAGATGGCCAGTTAGTGGTTTTATTACCACCGCATTATGTCCAGTTAGCAGCAGCCTTAGGTTTGAATTTGCAACCCCATACTGGTTCCACAAACGGTGTCCCTGTGTTCATGCCTCCGATGCCCCATGGGGCCATGGAGATACCGCCTCAAGGTGCTTTAGGACTTAACTCCATGACAATGACACAAAGGTGCGACTTTGAGAGGTTGATAGAGTTGTCCAAGAAGCATGCAGGTTACGATGATGTTGGTAAATTAGAACACATGGATGTAGACATGGATAAGTCTTCTAGTCTAGGAAGCGAGAACCAAGTGGTTCCAAACCCAGGAGAGCCGAGTCAACCACCACAACACCATCAGCAAGACGAGAACATGTGGAGACCTTGGTAGATGCAAATTTATTTTATATAAAGAGATTTTAACTTGTTATCAAAGATTTAAATCGTTTATTATTCCTCTAGCTTGTAAGTTCGTACTTAATCTCAAATCGACAAATCAAGGGCTAATTGTTGGAATAAGAACGCTTTTTAAGTATTTTTATACACAGATGTTTATAAATTTTATTCCACCATTTACTGTGAAGCATTGTTAGTGATAAAATTTAAGTCTAAGCGATGTTTGCTTCTAAAACTTTTACATTTGCCACAAAGTATTATAGGATCTAAGTCGCTTCTTTTTGTAAATATGTGTAAATTTTATCGATGATGTCCATTAACAACAGAAATTACGCTATGTAGATATAAGATTGTAAATAATGTGCAATATATGAATATAAAAGAGACAAATGGCATTATTATCCGAATTATTTAGAGTACTGTACTATATGTTATGTATTTTTAGCATTATTGTCAATTTATAAAGATCAAATAAAGAATTATAACATTTAAATGTGATATAACTCATTTTTAACTTCCCATATAATAATAGCAAAAAAATCGAAAAGGAACATTTTTGCATATCCTCGAGTTTCAGAGGTTTTTGAACATTTTGGCATACCTCAGAAAAAATTGATGCGTGTGTATGTGTCGAGACAATTTTTCATCGACGATTTGGGGCGCACGGATCAACCAATTTGAATGGTGCAAAAAACATTCGATTCCTATTGATAGGGAGATGTGCTGATTAGTTTTTGGCAAAGGTAGCAAAAAATCGAAAAAGAAACATTTTTGCATATCTTCGCGTTTCACAGGTTTCTGAACATTTTGGCATACCTCAGAAAAAATGGATGCGTGTGTATATGTGTCGAGACAATTTTTCATCGACGATTTGGGGCGCATGGATCAACCAATTTGAATGGTGCAAAAAACATTCGATTCCTATTGATAGGGAGATGTGCTGATTAGTTTTTGGCAAAGGCAGGTCCAACCGTTATGGAGATACGGAGCAAAGAATGCAAAAAATACAAATCGAATTTTTGAGAGAACGAAGTATCCTTTGAATGATTCAAAAACATTCTGCTTGTGTTGGCAAAAATTATTTAATTTTTTTTGTAAACGAAAAATAATTCAGATTTTAATTTTAATTCTAGTTAAAATTGTAAAGCTCACTTATATACTCTTAATAAATAATTTTAACTTTGCAATTCAGTTTATATAATTCTTATAAATATTAGACAATGTCCTTTATTTTAAATCCGATTGATTAAGTTAAATAAACGTTGTCGTCCTTTTAAGCTCTTATATTTTGTATATAAAATATGAATAATGAAAGTTACAGTATTTATAATAATCTACTTGAAAGTATTTAATATTTCTCGAATATTTCATTACGGTAAGGAAAGTTCCAGTAATTTGCCTTAAGGCAATATGCCATACACCACTAGTTTGTATTTGCAAATATCGAATTGTTAGAAATTTGAACAATTTGGAAAATACTGATAACAAAATGTCAATATTGTGATAATGAATAATTGAAAAAATATTTATTCAACCAAGAAAAATAAACTATAATAAACACAAATAAACTTGATAATGAGACAACTTAAGACAATGATTAAATTTTCAGATAATCTACCAGATTTTTAGACAAATTAAACTTTTCCACGCAATCTTCAACATTATCACACAATTTATAATATGTTAATCATTTTACAACCTTTTCAGACAATTTTCAAGATGAAATTTCTTTAGAAGTAGAAAGCAAATGGAGGAAGTATATATTTCATAGCATTGAAACATAAAATCATATTAGGGATATTCGAAATACATTTCATTTTACTCTTCGAGATAACATTTATGATAAATAGTCACAATATTGTGCTATAAGTTTTCATTTATCGAAGAATGTTGTAAGTGTTTGAAACAAGATAAAAAAGTCGAACAAAGTACAAAGAAGACTATTATCACCTATACTTTACAAATATTCCTTAGTTGAATATGAATTTATATATTTATTAAGCTTATTCTAAATTAATGCCAAGTTTTGCACAAACATATAAACTTAGAGGAATAATATTGTGCTCTAAGTGACAAAAATTTGTGTCACTAAGATTTTTCATAATATGTTCGTAATGTTTATAAAAAGACTATAAACACGTTCTCAGATACTTATCAGACCTAGTTTTATGCATTTAATGTATTAATTAGTCATTTAACAGGATTAAAATACTATTCCTTGCATACGACATAACCTCAATCGTAAAACACGTTTTTAAAACAAATTCAAGCGATAAATATTGTAATAAATGATATTAGAGCTTACCTTTATCAATGTAGCACTAATAAAACAACATATATACATTTTAATCTATTATTTCACTCCAATAAACACATTTACACTACTTGGCACTTTTTGCAAGACTTGACACTTCGCCATTAAAAAAGCTTCAGCGTTGCCAACATCACTAAACCAAAAACAGTTGTAAATACAAAATTCAAAATGGTTGAAACATTAATTTATTAGCATTTATTATTATTTACACATAAAATATAAAAAAAATCTAGAATCTATACATATATAAAACACCATAATTCAGTTTACATTTTATAGTTGACTTAGCTACAAATACATTAAAATAAATAAGTCGTAATTGTGACTAAAGCAACACATCACAACGAACCGATTGATAAGAGTGCTAGCTAACAAAGCTTTAACTTGTTAAATAAATGTCTCATTCAAATTTAAATTCAGCCTTTACACTAGTTAACTCCAATATCATTTTTCCTTATTTAAAGCTGCTATGAATTCCTCAAGTTTTTCCTGGATTTGACGTACCCTCTCTAAAAAGACATAAAACAAACCATTTACATATAAAATATACCTTAAAAAACTTGTTTTAAACATACTTAATTCTTCTGCAAGTGTTACTCTACGACCGGTCAACAGCATAGCTTTCTTTTCGCTATCTTGACTATAATCCTCCAAAACTTCTTTGATTTCTTTATCTAACCTACGTGCTACAAAATATAAAGATAATTAATTTAAATTAACATTCACATTAAAGAAATACACATACAAATTAAACTGTAGTATTAAATTTTAAATCTAATCAAACCTTCACGATTCATAATTTGTTGTCTCAACGCATTTGCTGTTACTTTTGCCATTTGTTGAATCCTCCAGAATAAAACTACATCACAGCAACCTACATCCTCAAACTAAAAGATAATAAAATCATTACACACTTGATTTCAAAATAATTAAGATGTTTTTATTACCTCTTTATTATTTCCTTGTTGGTGATATAGATAATATAACTTTTTACAATCAAATGCTTTACTTAAAGCCTGATTCAAGAAGAACCTTAAAATAAATGTATCGATTAATAAAAAATGTCTGAAATGCAAGTCATAAGTATGTTTGTACCTTCTGTAAACAGGATGCCAGGTTTCTTTAATATATTCCATGTCTACATCTACATTTATCCTTTGTAAGTTTTTACGAACTGTTGTTACTTCATCGTAGCTGAGTGTTGGGGGATGTTTCTGTAATAAAAAATAGAACATTTATAGACAATCTTGAACATTCGCAAACCAGCTACGAAATTCTCAGACTATCCAAAACAGTCTCATACGATTTAAAATAGCCTCAAACAAGCTGCAATAATTTCAGACAAGCTGCAACAGTCTCAGACAAGCTAAAACAGTCTCAGACAAGCTACAACAGTCTCATACGAGTTAAAACAGTCTCAGACGAGCTGTAACAGTCACAGATGAATTAAAACTGTCTCAGACGAGCTGCAACAGTCTCAGACCATCTGCAACAGTCTCAGACAAGCTAAAACAGTCTCAGACAAGCTAAAACAGACTCATACGACTTAAAATAGTCTCAGACAAGCTGCAATAATTTCAAACAAGCTGCAACAGTCTCAGATAAGTTAAAACAGTCTCAGACAAGCTGCAATATTCTCAAACGAACTGCAACAGTCTCAGACAAATTGCAATAGTCTCAAACAAACTGCAACAGTCTCAAACAAACTGCGACAGTCTCAGATGAGTTAAAACAGTCTCAGACGAGCTGAAACAGCCTCAGACAAGCTGCAATAATATCGGACATGCAGCAATAATATCGAATATGCTGCAACAATCTCAGACAAGTTAAAATAGTCTCAGACAAGCAGCAACAGTCTCAGATGAGTTAAGACAGCCTCAGACGAGCTGCAACAGTCTCAGACAAGCTAAAACAGTCTCATACAAGCGAAAAAAAGTCTCATACAAGTTAGAACAGTCTCAGATGAGCTGCAAACATCCCAGACGAGCTGCAAAAGTCTCAGGCGAGTTGAAACAGTCTTAGACAAGCTGCAAACATCCCAGACGAGCTGCAACAGTCACATAAGAGTTAAAATAGCCTCAGACAAGCTGCAATAATTTCAGACAAGCTGCAACAGTCTCGGAGATGTTGAAACAGTCCCAGACAAGCTAAAACAGTCTCATACGAGTTAAAACAGTCTCAGACAAGCTGCAACAGTCTCAGGCGAGTTGATACAGTCTCAGACAAGCTAAAACAGTCTTAGACCAGCTACAACAGTCTCAGAAGAGCTAAAACAGTCTCAGACAAGCTGCAACAGTCTCAGGCGAGTTGAAACAGTCTCAAACAAACTGCAACAGCCTCAGACGAGCTACAACAGCCTCAGACGAGCTACAACAGTCTCATACGAGTTAAAACAGTCTCAAATGAGCTAAAACAGTCTCACACAAGCTAAATAGTCTCAGACAAGCTGCAATAATACCAAACGAGCTGCAACTGTCTCAGACAAGCTAAAACACTCTCAGACAGTCTAAAACAGTCTTAGACAAGCTGCAATAATCTCAGGCAAGATAAAACAGTCTCAGACGAGCTAAAACAGTTTCTGACAAGCTGCAACAGTCTCAGGCAAGCTAAAACAGTCTCATACGAGTTAAAATAGTCTCAGACAAGCTGCAACAGTCTCAGATAAGTTAAAACAGTCTCAGACAAGCTAAACAGTCTCATACCAGTTAAAACAGTCTCAGACAAGTTGTAACAGTTTCAGATGAAATGAGACTGTCTCAGATGAGATAAAACAGTCTCAGAAAGCTGCAACAGTCTCAGACAAGCTGCAGACATCCCAGAGGAGCTAAAACAGTCTCAGACAAGCTGCAACAGTCTCAAACGAACTGCAACAGTCTCAAACGAGCTGCAACAGTCACAGACAAGCTAAAACAGTCTCATACGAGCTAAAATAGTCTCAGACAAGCTGCAATAATTTCAGACAAGCTGCAACAGTCTCAGATAAGTTAAAACAGTCTGAAACAATTTAAAAAGTCTCAGACAAGTTGCAACAGTTTCATATGAAATGAGGCAGTCTCAGATGAGATAAAACAGTTACAGAAAAGCTGCAAGAGTCTCAAATAAGTTAAAACAGTCTCAGGCAAGCTGCAATAGTCTCAAACAAACTGCAACAGTCTCAAACAAACTGCAACAGTCTCAGATGAGTTAAAACAGTCTCAGACGAGCTAAAACAGTCTCAGACAAGCTGCAAAATATTGGACATGCTGCAACAATCTCAGACAAGTTAAAACAGTCTCAAGCAAGCTGCACCAGTCTCAGACAAGTTAAAATAGTCTCAGACAAGCTGCAATAATTTCAGACGAGCTGCAACAGTCTCAGACAAGCTAAAACAGTCTCAGACGAGGTAAAACAGTCTCAGATGAGATAAAACAGTCTCAGACGAGTTAAAACAGTCTCAGACAAGCTGCAACAATCTCAGATGAAATTAAACAGTCTCAGATGAAATAAAACAGTCTCAGACAAGCTGCAACAGTCTCAGACAAGCTAAAACAGTCTCAGACAATCTAAAACAGTCTTAGACAAGCTAAAAAGTCTCATACAAGTTAAAACAGTCTCAGACAAGCTGCAAACATCCTAGACGACGCTGCAACAGTCTCATACGAGCTAAAACACTCTCAGACATCCTACAACACTCTCAATATTTTCAATACTCTAAACTTTCCACTTACACTATCGCTATAAATAATCTTATCCAACTCCGATTTGACTTTGCTCCTCAAAGCCTGTTCAGGTGTTGGATCTCCCATCTGAGCCACCTCTCCTTGGTACCGGGCCCCAACATCTCCCTCAATCTCAATTCGTTGTGGGCTAATCTGTCTCTGACAGCACTTTCTAAGAATTTGATTGCTTCATCCCATTCGGCTTTACTCGAAACTGATCTGTCTTCTAGTGTGTTCAGTTGAATTATCCTTAACATCTCTGAAGCCTGGTAAAAGAAATATAATCCATAATATATGCAAATATATATTAAAATGAATATAACATTATACTTTATCTTCCCACGAATGTCTTCTCATCGCTTCATCGACAACAGCAGCTTTTAAATTATCAAATATTCCATCGTGGTCTGGTAACTGTTGAGCTTTTTTCATAAATTGTTCAAACTCTACTTGTAGCGTCTCCCAGCCTAGAAAAACCCGTTAAAATCAACACCATAATAATCTCTAAATTTAATCATCAGAAATCTTTTCCCTCTTTTCCTATTTACCTGTTTCAACAGATTTTGCAGGCAACGCTTGTTCCGCCCATTGTTTCAATTTAATATCAACAGTCGTATTGAAATTACCTAAACGAAATAAAAAATATATGAAATAATTTCAGTTTGATTATAATTGGTTACTATTTTCTTACTTGTGCTTCCGGTTTGTGGCAGCTGGTAAATAAATGTTCTCAAATACATGGGTCGATACTTTTTTCCCAAATTTTTTGCATGAGTAGCAGCTCCCATTGTTTAGGTGATACCTAATAAATAGATGTATATATATATATATATATATATATATATATATACTAGCTGTCCCGGGAAACGTTGTTTTAGCAATCTAGGAAATATCTAAAGTTTACCTCAAGACATTGTTTGACCTTAAACATATATAATGATTGCAATAATTGATCCGATAATAAAGTTGTTCATCCCTAACACTTCATTTTTTCATTTTTTTTGATAATTTTTCCTTACTTTACGTTTAAACAACTCTATTACTGTATCTGCTACTCTAAAAAATTCTTACAAAATTACAAATAATTTAAATGGTGAAATAACATTTGCCGAGTCAGCCAGAAGGGTGGAAATCAAGGGTTGTATATATCTTTTTCAAATCTGCATTAAAAATAAAAATAAAAGTAAAGGAAATTAAGTCCATCAAATTAAAAAAAGTGGAAACAGTGAACAACCTTTGATGAAAATAAAGTTTTTTTTTCAAGAACTTTTCTATAAGTTTTCTATAAGTGAACTTTTGTTGAACTAAATGAAATTGATTTGACTTCTGAAATAAATATTATGATATAGGAATCTCTGGTAGGAGGGTAAAAATTTAGGGCCGATGTATGTTTGAATCACACATTTTAAAACATTTTAAATAACAAAATTGGTTTCGTGAATCAGAGAAAGTGTGAAAGGTAAACAACCTTTAATAAAAAAAATCTTTTTAAAGCAAAATTTAAGTCTTTCCAGAAGTTTAAGAAAATCTGAATCAAATTCAGAATTTCAAAAAAATATTCATTGTCTGTTTACTAAAATGACTATTACGAAATAGGGGTTTATGATAGAAGGGCGAAAATTGATAGCTTGTTATAAAATAATGAAATAAAAAGTAACAGATTGAAAATGTTAAAATTGAAATTATTTTCATCTTTTGCCATTGAATATTTATATTTTTATAATATTTTTTTTAATAAATTAAAGATTTTGTAAGAAATGATTCTGTTTTTGCCCACCTTGAATAAATTTACGCAATCTGTTATATATAAACACTATTAAAAAACAAATTTTAAATCAATGATGCTCTTTGTTTTGATATTTCGAACAAACTAGCTTATACATACAAAAAATTAGTTTGGATCATAAAACGTGGATTTCCCATCTGAATCTACATATTTCCATCATAGACATAGGCTACTAAAATTCGTAACTGTAACATACATTTTGTAGTGTTGTATTTTGACAGTAAAACAATTAAAATTGATTGTAGATATAAGCAAATTATAGTTCAGTGTTTATAATTTCGTGTAAATGCAAAATTATAAATTTCGTTGAAAAAAAATTTTTAAAAGCCATGTAAGATCGGAAACGCGTTAAACGAGTACCGTGCAAAAACGGGGGATAGGTGTATATATATATTTATGGTACCTGTGATAGATTAATTATTTCATCCAAGATTTCTCCTCGCGCTTTCTCAAATAATTCATCTCTGTCCAGTTCTCGCAATCTGCAACATAAATTAAATTTTAAATATATTTGCAAAAAATTCAGTGACCTATCCATTATTACCTTGGGAAATTGTTCTTCCATTCAGTTTCCAAATTGAACCCTCGTGGCTTTAAAAGCATCTGCCTGTTGTTCCACAGTTTCTCGTACCATTTTCCAGAAACATTCAGCTACAGCCAGTGATAAATTTCTCGTTGTAACTTGTCCTGACATCGCTATACCATCCCTGAAAAAAGGATCAATAAATAAATTCTGTATGTATTTATAAATATTGAGTCTGAATTATTTATAATATCTTCGGTAATAGGTACAAATAGAAAAAAAATTTGTATCTATTTGAATAATTTACACATGATGATTTTTTTTTATACAACAAATAAGATGATTCAGAAGTTATAGAATGAGATAAGTATATAAAAGTTTTTCTATTTACTTGAATAATTTACTGTTCCTGAAGAACTTGTTCCTCGTGTTGTCTGATTGTAGCAATAGTATCATCCTGACGTCCTCTTCCAGTGACGACAGCGAAATATCCTAAAGCTTTCATTGGGAACAATTTGCCCGACAAAATTTTTCGAATCTACAAAAAGATTAACACTCAAATTTAACAAAGCCTATTTTGGTAGTTTCGAGTATTCATTAATAAAACACACTTATGAAAGGTGCCTATAACTCATATTATTGACGTTGAAAATTCTCTATCGCTTAATCCAAAATATTT